CGGAAAGAGCTTCTATAAGGAAGTATTAGTTAGCTTCCTCGAGGATTTCTTCCTACTTAGCTAGCTACGAAGAAGCTAGTAGGTTCCTAGTAGAAAAGGCTCCTAGGTGGGCCGTATAGGTCTTCCTAATACGGTTAGTTATATAACCTCTTAAGGGAGCTATCGAGGTCTCGAGCTTTAAAAGCCACTGCCTTAGAGTCTCTTCCTCTTAAAGAGAGATTAGCTTTACGGCACTAACGGATTCCGTTATCGCCGTACGAGCAGCCGTTAGTAGCTTCGTCTCGTAAAGGTATTCCTTACGGTGACTCTCGTAGTCGCCTAAGGTAGTAGAAAAAGCTCTCTATTATATAGAGGTTAGCTCGGAGAAGAGGGAAGCTCCCTCTATAAAGTCCGTTGCCCTAGGATAAAGAGGGGGCTTAAGAGGGTCCTACTTATTAAAGAAGACTAAATTATAGATAGTTCTATCTATACGAGCCCGTAGCTCCTTTACCTACTTATCCTAATCTTAGGGCTCTATAAGAATCGTCCTACGGACCGTAGGGACGTTAGAGGAGTCGGTTTTCGTTATCGTTGCGGGGAAGGGTAGAAAAGTCGGTTAAAAATCGGCTTTTCTAGTAAGAGGGGTAAAAGGAAGCTACGAGGGATGCAAGAAAGATAGCTTTTGCAGCAGCCGGAAGGTATAGGAATTCTATTCCTCCCGGGCTTATAACTCTCGCGTAGAGAGATATAAGAAGTGCATATAAAATGCACGAAGGTAAAATTAGAAGTAAGGGGTCGGATAGGCAGGGCAGAGAGATTTAATTCTTACGGGGGCAGTAATAAAGGTAGGGGAGTGATTATTATATTGCCTTAATTGTCCTTCTTTCCTCTATCTAACGCCCCTCTTTATACCCGTCTAGCATCTTAATTAATAAAGAAGATCCTACTTAAAGAAGCTACTAATATCCCTTTAACTACTAAGCTTTTTGCCGGTTTTTCCCCTCCTTTCTAGCCGTTGCCGGCTTATCCGTCTTATCTCTCGCTACCTCTATAGGAAGCTATCGCTACTTCTGCTTCCCCTTATGCCCCTACCCTCCTCTCTATACCTCTTTTTAGCTCCTTCTTTAAAACCTATTTTTTAGCTTCCTAGGTCCCTCTTACTAAGGGATATCTCCGAGAACTACGAAATTAGGCCACGCTTCGCGATAATTATATAAGCTAATAAGTAGTATATTAATTATAGATAAAATCCTATATTATAGAGTAAGAATCGCTTATTATTATATATATTATTATATATTAAACGGGTTACCGGTTATTATATAATTAGGAATTAAAGAAATAGAGCTTGCTTAAAATACTAGCTAAGACCTCTTAAGAATACTAGCACGACTAACCTCCTTTAAATATAAATATTAGTAGAACTAAGATACTTCTTAATATACTCGAGGTATTATAGAATTCCTTATTCTTAGGGCTATATAGCAGCTTAAATCTAGTCCTAAAAGGTTCTTTTATTTAGCTATAATTATCTATATAAGATAGTATATCCGCTAGTAAATAAAGTAAGAATTATTAACTTTAATACCTCTTCTATATACTAATATACTACTAATAAATTCTATAAAAAATCCTACCTTATACTTCTTCCTCCCCTCTATTATATAGTCTAACGTAACTCCTTAATTTCTTAAAATTCCGCTTTTACTTATATACCTTAAGAGTAAGCGTTCTTTATAAGCTACTATATAAAAGAAAGGTAAGGTTAAGGTTATTAAGGTATCCCTTATTAATACCTATATTAGTATTATTAGTATATATATAAGTAAGAGGTCTTAGTAAGGTTTTAAAACGATTTAAATTATACTATTATTATTATTTATATCTTTTAAAGTATTATATAAGGATTATAGTTTCTTAACTAAGTCGCTAGTATTAAGGGTTATAGGGCTAATAATAAGAGCTTAGGGCTTTTTAGTATTAGCTTATTACTTTTCCTTTACTATTAATAAAGGCATTATTTAATTATTTATTTCTTACTAAGCCTATCGCCTTATTAAGTCCTTAACTTTAGCTCTTAAAGTAGTTATTACTTTAATTATTAAATCCTTAGATTTTATTTTTTCTAAATAGTACTATTATCTTCTAAGTATTCTTAGCTTTATAAAGCTACTTATCGATATATAAATAAAAGGGAATAACGAGTTTATACTTTATAGACTAATTTTAATAAAGATAAGGGTATATACTTAAAATATATATAGTATATAGCTAAGGATTAATAAAGTAATTAACTATATAATTATCTAATTATAGGTCTTATATATAGCTCTAAGGGTCTTAGGTTATTAATATAAGTCTTAAAAGTTTTTTACTTTATACCTCTTTATCTCTATTAAAGTTATATAGCTAGCGGCCTTTACTTTAAAAGGGAAAAATAAAAATTCGAATTAACTATAATTAAGGAAGGTGCTTAATTAAATAATTTAAGCTTTTATAAAGCCTTTAAGTATACTTAAAAGGAAGTTAAATAAGGAGCGCTAAGGGTCTTATATCTTTAACTAGCTAATATTTATAAGGGTGCTATCTTACTTATTAAACTACTTATAGCTAAGGACCTATTTTCCTCTTACGTTTTCTTTAAGAACTTATTTAAAAGACCCTATCTTTTTATATAAGGCTAGGTAGTCTTTCTAGGCCTAGAAAAACTAGTCTTTAAAGGGGTGTTTTTCTAGCTACTTTTAGTTTACTAGTAAGTCTAGGAGGTCTCTTTTATATACCTTCCTTATTAATTAAGGCTTAAAAGGTCAGCCTACTATAAATACTTTATAAGAGCTATCTTTTATAAGCGTTAAATAAAAGTCGGAAAAATAATTAATATAAAGGAAAAGTTAGTCTTCTTTTATATTAGGCTCTATACCTTCCTTTACTTCTTAAAGTAAGGATAAAAAGGTAGCTAGGTAATCTTTTAAGAGAGATACCTTTCTTACCCTTTTAAAGGTTAAAATAAAAAGACTAATAAAAAAGCTACTTTTAGATCTTCTTCTTATATAAAAGGAGGCATAGGGAGGTAAGCGTATTTTAGCTCTACCGCTTTCCTATAGTTTCTTCCTTTATTTAAATTATTTAATTTAGTAGCTTCTTTTTTTTCTTTAAAGTTAGCGTTATCCTTAACTACTTTAACGTTAGTTTCTTCTTTTATTTCCTTATTTAAGACCTCTTCCTAAGACTATTAAAAAGGGGGGATTAAGATCTTTTAAATTAGCTAACGTTAAGAAAGTAAGAAGGGCTATTAATCCCTCTTTCTATTAAAGAAACTAGATTTATTAAAAATTATATTCCTAGTTAAAATAACCTTTTATAAAAGAAGAATCTAGATCTAAAAGATATTTATAGAATTATAACTAATAAGGTAACTAATAAAAGCTCTAGGATTAAGCTTTCTTTTCTTCTTCCTTTTTAGCTATATATTAGTAGTTATAGTATATACCTTATAGCTATAGGTATAAAGGTAGGCTAGCGAGGCCCTTTTCTTTATAAAGAGCTTAAAAGGGGATTTTTAGTTTATTCTTTAAGTAGTCCTTCTAAGGTCCTTAGGGTTCTTAAGGGTCCGGTTCTAAAGGTAATAAGTAGTCTTAACGACTTCCCTTTAAAGGTTATAGGGAAGCCTTATAGTAAGTTTAATTATATAGGCCCTTTTTATTATAATACCCCTTAATCCTTTTACCCCTTTATTTTAGGCCTAGGTATTTAGTATTAATAGGATAGGTAAAATACCCCCTTTTTAAAGCGAATTTAAGATATCGTTTATAAATAGCTCTCTATTAAACTATATCTTCTTTACCTTATAGCTAAAGTAGGATTTTATCTAGTTAATAAAGTCTTAAAAGGTAAACTAGTTATACTTACTTAAGTAGGTCTATAAGAAATAAAGGAAAATTATCCTTAAAAAGGCGTTTATAAAAAATAATACCTTAATAAAGCTTTATTAGTCTTTAAAAATATTAGTTTAGTCGACTTAAATTTCCTTATATAGCTAGTCTAGCTATAAAAGGGTTCGTTTAGAAATTTATCTCTTTATTTTTCCTTAGCTATAGTATTTATATTTTATAGTCTTTAAGCTTTTTATTTATATACTTTATTATTAGCTTAGCTTATATAAAGCTAAGGGGCTTAGGTAACTAAGTTATATATATTAAAGAAAGCTATCTCTTTAAGCTATTAAAAGAGGGTCCTTTATAATAAACTTATTCCTTTTAATAAGAAAAGCTAACTTTTAAGAGATTCCTTCCTAAGGATAGGTTAGAATTTAAGAATAAATTAACTAAATTTCTCCTTAATAAGCTTAATTATTTAATTCTTTTAGACTAGCTTTATAAGCTTAAATATTATATCTTAAAAGATTCCTTTTTTTAAAGAAGGTAGAAAAGAATTAAGCTTATAAAAATTTAAGGGTAAAATACTACCCTTTTTTTACTATAGAATCTATATAGTTTTATTAAGTAGTTTTATTATAAGATTTACCCTTTTATACCCCTTTATCTATATAGTTAATTTACTAGTAATAAGGTATTCCCTTTATACTTTCTTAAAGGACTAAAATCGTAAAAGTATATTATAAATATTAAGGGAAGTATTAAAGTTAAGGATAGCTAATTTTCGTAAAAGATAATTTAAGGGCTTAAATAGTTAGTCTTAGCTTTATTAATTTATAAGGAAGATAAAGGCTAGATTTACTATACTAATAATTTTTCCTTAAATTTATAGCTTAAATAAGGGTAGTAGTATTAGTTATTATTTCTTAGTAACCTAAATCTTATTTATTCTCTTTTATAATATAAGGTCCTTGTAACGGTCTCAACTGAGTGTGTTGACAACTAGCTGAGCGACTGCGACGAGTATCCTAAAGCTAAGGAGAAAAGAAGAAGAAAAGAAAAGAAAGGAAAGCTCTCGAAGATGGCACGAGCTTATAAGCGGAGCTCCGGTGGGTCTTGTCGAGAGCGGAGCCGAGACCTCACGGCTCAGCCCGTTACAATAACCCCTCCTTCCTCCCCGTTTCGATCGTTTCGATTGGGGTGGTTTCGATCCAACTTTCCCATGAACTTCTTCATACCTAGCCAGTGCTATTGTGTCTGCGACGTACTTGACTGGCTCCCACGTCGGACCTATCCATCCGACCCATTTCACCAACACTTTCCACTCTCTCCCGACTTTCTTCCTGTCCAGAATCTCTTCCACTTCCCACAGCTCGCCATCGTCCGTCAAAATGGCCGGTGGGCGGTAGTCATCCGACGTCTGTGACGGTAGCGGATCGTCCGCTGCTAAGCGTAAGAGCGACACGTGGAACACGTTGTGTATTCCCGGAGGCGTGTCCAGCCTGCACGCGTGTGACCCAATGGTCTCCAGGACGGTGTACTTGGCCGACAGCCAATCGAGCTTCTTGGATGGCCGATTGGATCGGATGTTGCGAAGTCGCAGCCATACCTTGTCTCCAGGCTTGAACTGGTCTGACGGCTGTCTTCGCGAATTGGCGTTCTTCTCTTGCTGCTCTTGCGCTGACGCAATTGCCGCCTGGGCCCATTCCGTTGCCTCTCGAAATCGTTGCACAATGCTTTCAGCCCTGGCCACTGGGGACCTTCCGTCCGTCCGTAACTTCTCCTTGACTTGTATCGGGTCAACATGATACCCATGCGTGATAAAGAACGGGCTCAGGCCTGTCGACGTCGAGTTGTGATTGTTGATGGCCATCATGGCCGCTGGCAACAGCTCTTCCCAGTTATCCTGAGCATAAGCAGCAAAGATCCTCAGATATCTCTCGACTTCCTGATTCGCCCTTTCTGTTGCACCGTCAGTCTCGGGATGCCACGCCGTAGACAATCTTTGCTTCACGCGTAGCAGCTCGCAGAGCCTCTGCCATAGTCTACTGGTGAATTGCGTGCCACGGTCAGTGACGATCGCGCGCGGCACGCCATGGTGTTGCACCACGTTCCGTAGCAATGCTCTGGCCGTCGTCTCGGCCGTGATGTCCTTCAATGACTCAAGAACGACACTTTTGGACAGTCTGTCCGTCACGACCATAAGGTTGGTCGAACCGTTCGACTTGGTTGGTGGCAGGTCTGTCACAAAGTCAATTGACAGCTCCGACCAGATCCTGTCTGGAATAGGTAGCGGCTTCAATAAACCGCGACGCTTCTCTCGCCAAATGTTGCTTCGGCCACACACATCACAATTTCTCACAAATTGACGCACGTCTGAATCGAGGCCTGGCCAATAAAACTTGCGGCTCAACAAGGACTTCAGCATGTCCCGTCCGGGGTGTCCTGCAAGCGTTGAGTCATGCGTCTCCTGCATAAGCCGCGTGCGCAGGGTTCGTGGTTCGGCACCCAAATTCGCTCGCCAGCAGAGCCGCTGTCCATCGTCAATCGAGCATTCCGAGAGCATCACGGGCAGTCCCCAATGCGACGGCAGACGCCTCTCGCCTTGCTGTACGGCCTTTCGGATGAGCCAATAACGATTGTGCTTGACACCTTCGTCCCATAACTTCTGCAGTTCCGGGTCCGAGAAAGGGTTTTCGATTGAGTCGTCTTGGTCAGTTGTTGCGTCATCGGGTTGATCCGTGTCGCCCTTGGTGACATAACCGCTCTTGACTTTTGTCACCAGGCCACCCTTGTTACGTTGCAGCAGCTGAACACGTCGTCCTTGCAACCGATCATCTTCGGCGCTGTGCGGCATGTCCTGTTCTCGTCGCGACAGCGTGTCCGGTACGACGGCTTCTTTGCCCGGTCGATGCTTGATGGTGAAGCTGTACCGCGATAGCGTCTCAGCCCATCGCGCCTGACGTTCACTCAGTTGCTGCTTCTTGGTGAAGTAACGGAGGTTGAGATGATCCGTCAAAACGGTAAAGGACTTCACACTCTCAATTCGGCGTCCCAATGCTCAAGGCAGCGAATGATCGCCAGCAGCTCTTTATCGTGGATTGGGTAGTTGCACTCCGCCGGTGCGTTTTTCTTTGAGAAGAAGGCCACAGGCCGCATGATGCCGTCATCGCCCTTTTGCGAGAGCGCCCCTCCTGTGACATAACCGGATGAATCCGTCTCCACAATCGTCTCTCTATCCGGATCCCATTGCGCAAGGACCGGCGCACTGGTCAGAAGAGCCTTCAACTCCTCGAAGGCCTTGTCGCACTCCTTCGACCACGCAAACACCGCATCCTTCTTTGTTAACGCCGTTAGAGGCGCGGCGATGTTGGAGAATCTGGGAATGAATTGCCGGTAATAGTTGGCAAACCCCAGAAAACTTCTGACGCCTTTGACAGAACGGGGTCGCTGCCACTGCTGAATTGCCTGCACCTTCTCCGGGTCCACGCGGATACCTTTCCCGGCTTCGACGATGAAGCCCAGGTACTTGACACTCTTTGCCTCAAAGTCACACTTGTCGATATCAATCTGCAGGCCTGCATCTCGCAGTCGAGCAAGGACCTGCCTGACTTTGTTGCGATGATCTGCGAGCGAACCGCTCGAGTAGATCAAGATGTCGTCAATGTAAGCGGAACAGAACTCGTCGAGGAAATCTCGCAACGTGTGGTTTATGTAACGCTGAAACGTTGCGGGAGCACCCGTCAACCCGAACGGCGTGACAAGCCATTCGTAGAGTCCGTAACGTGTTCTGAATGCTGTCTTCCACTCGTCTCCCTCCTCGACGCGAATCTTGTGAAATGCTGCGATAACGTCAAGTTTGGTGAGCCACTTGGCTTGACAGCGACCGCAAAGTTTCCTCGATCAACGGCAAGGGATATCGGTCTTTCTTGGTGATCGCATTCAATCCTCGATAGTCCACGCAAAAGCGCAGACCACCACCGGGCTTCCTCACGAACAAAACTGGTGCTGACGCTGGAGAACTACTTGCTCGAATGAAACCCTTGTCGAGTAGCTCAGTGAGAGTCTTTCGCAGAACAATGAGCTCTTCTCGTGACATGCCGTACAATGGTCCCCACGGCGGTTCTTTCTCCTTGTCATCAGGACCTCTCTAACTGAATCTTGTGATCACACCCGGACGACGCGGTGGGAGTTGGTCCGCTTGGTCGCGGTCGAAGACGGATAGGTACTCGTGGTAGTGACGGGGCAGCTTCTCTCGGGTCTGACTTCTTCCTCGGAGTCAATGCCTTCTCAATGTCTTTCAGGCTTGCGGCGAAGATCCGCACTCCATCGTCTCGATGCTTGAACTTTCTTGCTCGGCGAACCATTCCGGCGAACACGAACGCCGCCTGTCCTCGTATGTTGCACCGTTCCTCCTCCTTCGGGTCTCGGCCTTTCACCCAATGGTCGTGCGTCCCGATATGCAAGAGGTTCTGCGATAATCGCAAGGTGACATCCTCCTGGTTCAACCACTTCTTGCCCAGAATCACAGGGTCGGTCTGGTCTCGCACAACGTAGAAAAAGCTCTTTCTTCTGGTACCCGTCGATATCGAAGTCGAAGTAGGTCACGGCACAGATGGCCTCGGGTGAGAATGTGTTGACCTGCTCCAACGTTCGAGGTTTAATCGGAATACGCGGCAGGTGAAGCTTGCGGGCAAGGCGCTCACTGATGGTCCCATAACACAGGCAACCACAGTCAACGAAGGCCGTGATGAAATACTCGATTGATACCGAAATTTACGTAGAGGCCTTCACAGTCCATCTCGTCCTTCTGAGTTGCCCATTCCGCCTCAGCCTTTGCGCGCTCCTGACGGCGATTTTCGTCAGGAGCTACTCGTTTTCCGAATGGTCATCGGAGGTATCCCGCTAGAACTCTCCGCGGGCTCTTGGTGCTTTGCTCGAGCTTCTTGTCTTCTCTTCGACACGGACCTTGACTCTGCTGCCGCCGATCTTCCCGGGACACTTGGCCGCAAGATGGCCAAGCTTCCCGCACTCGTAACATTTGCGCTCCTCCAACGGAACAAATTGCTTTTCCTCCGGGGCCCTCCTGCCGTTTATCAACCGATTTGCTTTCACGGGTTCCCAATCCATCTGATCATCGGACGGGGGGGACGACGTGGTTGGCGATCCGGGTGACGGGGGCTTTTGTCGGGACTCGAGCGGTTCGGATAAACGACCATACTCCTTTCTTGACCTCTGCTCGCGGCCTTGTTGTCGTTGGTGGAAATTGAGGCTATCTAGGCGCGAGCCAATCGTCAAGAGTAGCTCGGCGTAGCTGTTGAAATCCTTCGGGAGACTGACGGCACTGACGAGACTCGACTTGAGCCTATTATTAATTGCTCCTTCCAAGTAATTGATTTGCACCACGTCGGCCCACTCGCCACCGCCACTATCGGCAAGCTCTTTCTCGAACTTTGGGAAGAAACTGGCGAAACTCTCATCAGGCTTCTGCTTCAACGATCGAAGTCGATCCAGTGCTCGTGCCTTTGCGTTCGGGTCCCCGTACCGACGGTTCAAGTAGTCGAGAAACAGATCTGGGAGCGAGCACCATCGATACCGCCCTGTTCGTAATAAGCAGCGGCCATGTTCTGGGCTGTTCCCGCCAACCGGGAGTACACATAGGCGAAGAGTGCTTCTTTATTGTCGAATGCCTGTCGGTCCACAGCCAATTTCGCTTTCATCTCTAAGAACCAGGGACGGAAGTTTTTCCTGGTTCCATCGAATTTCGGCGGATCAGGCAAGGTTGGTTTTACCCTCTTTGATGGGATTCTTTCGGATGTCTCGATCGATTGAGGCGTGTTGTCGGACATCGGTTCGATAGGAGCGACTGGTTCATTTGCCGGAGTCGGAGTTGAGACGGCTGTTTGGAGGATTCGGATCTGCGATCGCATCTCTTCGCGTTCGGCCTCTTGGCTTGCACACACACTTTCTAGTTTGTCCATCACTGCAGCCAGGGCTTGCATCATCGATTGAGGCTCAAAAGAACCTTGCTGGGAATCGATTGCCTCCATGACTGAAGATTTTCTCCTCGTCTCTCAGGACTGAGGGCGACTTGATCACACAGCAAGTCTGATACGGAAGGGATATCTCGACAACGGTCGAACGCTATCAACGCCTCGAAGGCTCCTTCCTACACGGCTGGACGTTCTGCACAGGGCTTCTAGTCCAGCTGCTGCCGTCCACACTGGGAGCCAAGCAGCAATCACGTACTTCTCGCTCAACCGCACGCCGTACGGAGAGCAGATTGACGCTCCACGTCCTTTGCTCGGGAGATGAGAGCTACGCGACGCGAGCCAAGCTGGCTTTGGCGCCGTACACACACGCACTTTCGTCGCGGGCGTTCCACACAGGATTGCCCAAGCTACTGCCACTCCGCGTACCCACAAAGGGAACTGAACAGCGCTGCCAATTGATTGTGATCAAAGGCTTTAACGATGAAAGGGAGCTTTAGGATAATGTAACGGTCTCAACTGAGTGTGTTGACAACTAGCTGAGCGACTGCGACGAGTATCCTAAAGCTAAGGAGAAAAGAAGAAGAAAAGAAAAGAAAGGAAAGCTCTCGAAGATGGCACGAGCTTATAAGCGGAGCTCCGGTGGGTCTTGTCGAGAGCGGAGCCGAGACCCTCACGGGCTCAGCCCGTTACAGTCCTCCTTAAGAGACTTTTAAATAATATCTTTTAGTCCTTTAAGAAGCGTAATTTTAAAAGGACGACTTTCCTTAAAAACTTATTAGTAGTCCTTTAGCTAATAGGGCCTTTTATATACTTAGTAGGTAGGTCGATTCCTCCTTATTTATTATCTCTTTAAAATATCCTTATTCCTTTTTAAAAGGTTTACTTAATAAACCCCTTTTTTTATACCTTATTATTAATTTTAATAAGGTTCGATTTCGACTAGTTCTTTAATCTTTTAACTAATAAACTAAAAGGTTTATTAAGGGACTAGTTAGGCTAGATAGACTAATAGGGCCGGGCCTAGAGTAGTAAGCGGAGCTAGGGCTAGGACTAAGGTAGTAGTTAAAGATAAGGTTAAGGCTCTTAAAAGAGTAAGAGCTAAAAGGGTAGTAGCTATAGTAATAATAATAAGGGCTATAGTAAGAGAGGCTATAGTAGCTATAAGGGTAGTAAGTCGAGCTATCTAAGTTAAGTACTAGCTATAAAAAAATAAGACTACTTATTATTATACTTTAATAGCTTTTTTATTTAGTTCTTAGCTAGCTTCTTAAAAGATAGTTAAGTAACTATTATTAATAAGCTTTATTAATAGAGATACATCTTATAGCTACTACTTAGAAAGAGCTTTTATTAAGAAGTATTAGTTAGCTTCTTTAAGGATTTCTTTTTATTTAGCTAGCTATAGAGAAGCTAGTAGGTTCTTAGTAGAAAAAGCTCCTAAGTATACTATATAGGTCTTCTTAATATAGTTAGTTATATAGCCCCTTAAGGGAGTTATTAAGGTCTTAAGCTTTAAAAGCTATTACTTAAGAGTCTTTTTTTTAAAAAGAGATTAGCTTTATAGTATTAATAGATTTTATTATCGCTATATATATAATAGTTAGTAGCTTTATCTTATTAAGGTATTTCTTATAATAACTATTATAGTTACCTAAAGTAGTAAAAAAAGCTCTTTACTATATAAAGGTTAGCTTAGAAAAGAGGGAAGCTCCCTTTATAAATTCTATTACCTTAAGATAAAAAGGGGGCTTAAGAGAGTCTTACTTATTAAAGAAGACTAAATTATAAATAGTTCTATTTATATAAGCTTATAGCTCCTTTACCTACTTATTTTAATCTTAAGGCTTTATAAGAATCGTCTTATAAACTATAAAGGTAGTAAAGGAATTGTTTTTTAATATTCTTATAAAAGAAAGAGTAGAAAAGTTAGTTAAAAATTAGCTTTTTTAGTAAGAGGGGTAAAAGGAAGCTATAAAGGATATAAGGAAGGTGCCTTTTATAGTAGCTAAAAGGTTTAAGAATTCTATCCCTCTTAGGCTTATAACTCTTATAAAGAAAGATATAAAAAGTATATATAAAATATATAAAGGTAAAATTAAAAGTAAGGGGTTAAATAGGTAGAGTAAATATATTTAATTCTTAAAAAAGTAGTAATTATAGTAAGGGAGTAATTATTATATTACCTTAATTTTCCTTTTTTCTTTTATTTAATATTTCTCTTTATACTTATTTAAGATCTTAATTAAAAAATACTTAAAGAGGCTATTAATATCCTTTTAACTACTAAGCTTTTTACTAGTTTTTCCTTTCTTTTCTAGCTATTACTAGTATATCTATCTTATCTCTTACTACTTTTATAAGAAGCTATTATTACTTTTACTTCCTTTTATACCCTTACTTCTTTTTCTATACTTCTTTTTAGCTCCTTCTTTTTTCTTTTATACTAAGTATTTTTATAACTACCTTAGCTATAAAGCTAGCTAAGGCTACTTTTACTTTAAGGTTTAATACTATAATTATAAAGGAGAGCACTTTATAACTAATAAAGTATAATATAGAGTCTATAAAAGAATAACTAATACTTAGTAGCCTTAGCCCCCTTATACTTATAAGGCCCTTAAAGCCCCTTAGGCCCCTTAGGCTTAACTATAACCTTATTAGTATTATATAATCTAATACTAATAGGTAGGAAATAGCTAACCTATTAATCTTAAAGTAAGCTTTAAAAATAAAAGTAGACCTTATCTTATTATAAGAACCTTACTTTTATAAGATTAATAATAGCTATATCCTTATATAGTATTTAGCCTATAATATTATTCTCGCGAAGAGAGATATAAGAAGTATATAAAAATATATAAAGGTAAAATTAGAAGTAAGGGGTCGGATAGGTAAGGCAGAGAGATTTAATTCTTATAAGGGCAGCAATAAAGGTAGGGGAGTAATTATTATATTACCTTAATTATCCTTCTTTCTTTTATCTAACGCCCCTATTTATACCTATCTAGTATCTTAATTAATAAAGAAGATCCTACTTAAAGAAGCTACTAATATCCTTTTAACTACCGAGCTTTTTATCGGTTTTTTCCTTCCTTTATAGCCGTTTCCGGTATATCCGTCTTATCTCTCGCTACTTATACCTCCCCTTATGCCCCTACCCTCCTTTCTATACCTTCCTTTTAGCTCCTTCTTCTATACCGGGTGTTTTTAGCTTCCTTAGTCCCTTTTACTAAGGGATATCTCCGAGAACTATAAAATTAAGCTACGCTTCGCGACACACCCCCTTAGCTATAGCCTGCCCTTATAGTAAGGGCATAGCTAATACGGCTTTAGGCTAGTAAGCGTATAGAGGAGGTTCTTAGCTCTATACTTCTCCCTTTACTCGAGGAAAGCAAGGGCCCTTTCGGGTCCCTAGGCTCTTTAGACCTACTTAAGGAAAAGGGGCCTAAAGAGGGGAAAGTCCTATAAGAAAGGGGGCCTTCTTTAAAGGGAAAAACCTAATTAAAATAGGGGGCCCTTTAAAGGGAAAAACCTCTTCCTTCTTCTTCGGCTATAGACGTTACCTTCTTATACGTGCTATTAGCTCCTCTTATAGACTCTTAAGGCAGGCCTCTAAGGATAGCTTCTCTCGAACGTCTTCTAGCCTAATTTACTATAAGAAGATAGCTAGCTTCTACTTCGGTAGGGGCTTTATAAGACCGTCGGCTTTTATTAATACCGTTAGAACCTAACGGACGGAAATAAGTCCCCTTTAGACCTCTTAGCGTAACTAATACTAGTAGATATCGATATACTATAGCTAGGTCGATAACTTACTATTTTCTATAAGAATTTATATAGTCTACGTATTATCGTATTCTATAGCTAATAGGGTCGGAATTTATAGTCGTAGAGATATTAATAGCCGGCTAAGGAAAATCGCTTCTTTTAACGCATCTAAAAGAGCTAGTAGCTCTGCCTCTATACTAAAAGTTATAACGGTAGCTTACTTCGAAGCTCTCTAAGTAATAGTTCCTCTAAAAAGGGATATAATATACCCTTATAAGCTCTTTCTATCTAAGGAATTATCTATAAAGGACGAATCGCTCGAATAAAGGAAGATTTCGGTAGCTTATTTCCTTCCCTACCCTCCTAGGCGTAGACTATATAATCTCGTTAAATAGAGATAAAGGATAGCTCTATTTACTACTTCTTAATGCCTAGGGCTAGGATTCTAGTTATACTTAGCTAGCTAGGAGACCGTAAAAGAGATATCTAGTCTAGTAGAAATAGCTATAAAAAGTAAGGAGCCTACCTTCTATTAATATTAGTATTTCTCTTACTACCTAGCTTAAAAGGACGGATTAGGTAAAAGCTCTTTATTTAATATAGGCGTAGAGGGAAGCTTCTTATCGAGGGAATTAAGGAGGAATTTATAAGCGACTTTATCGATATAAGCGTCTTAGGTAAGCTAGATAGTCTATTAGGACCTATTCTAAAGGATTCGTATCCCTAGGAACTACTTTAGCTCCCTTAGCTAGGTTATCTTATACCTTTATTATAGGCTATATATAGCCTCCCTTATAGTAGCTTCTTCCTCTTTTAGGTATACCTAGATAATATCGTCGACGTAGAAGAAGACTATAATTTTACTCTTCTATATTATATACGGTTCTTAAGGGACTTTCTTAAAGCCTAAGGCTTTAAGGGAACCTATTAAATACTATTGCTAAAGAAGGGGTAATCTTTATAGTCTATATAGAGCTTTTCTTAGCCGTAGAACCTTTCCTAGCTATTAGAAGCCTAGTAGAAGGCGTATATTGATAACTTCTTCTTCCTTAAGTAAGTAGTTAATAAAGGCGTTAACTATATCTATCTAATCGAGCTCGAGGTCGAATTCTACTACTATAGCTATAAGGGTCCGAAAAGACATCCCTACTAAGGTAGTTGCCCTAGTAGGTAGATCCCCTTTTTCCTATTAATTCCTATAGATAACTAGCCGGGCTTTATACTTTTAAAGGAAGCTGTGTTTATTAGTCTTATAGATAAAGACCTACTTATAGCTAAGGACCTATTTT